TGTGTCCTGTCCCTCCATCCCTTGTCCCCTGGAGCCTCCTGCAAATACCTGGATTCCCATCTGGAGGAGCAGACACAGCTCTGCAGTGAGTGACTCTCCTGTCCCCAGGTGATGTGCAAGAGCCAAATGCATTTTCTCCTTGGGAGAGAGGTGTTGCTGTGGTTTTGCTCTGCTTGCCCTCCTCCCCTGTGCAAAGGTAGCTGATTTATGGCTGCTCTGGGGCTGTTCTGCAGCCACAAGGCTGAAATAACAACAACAACCTCAGCCAAAGCTGAAATCATTAAGTGGAAAAATTGAAGTACAGTAGGAATAAATAATTCCAGGGCAGTGTTTTGTGTCAGGGATGGGATGCAGAGCTCTGCTGAGAGGCCTGGGCTGCCGTGGGCACTGCCCTGGCTTAGCTGGGCTCTGGGCTGGCCTTAGGGGCTGTTTTACAACCAGGGACCTCATAAATTGGGAAAGCTGGACAGGACAGAACACACTTCCAGCCAATATGATTAATGCAACGTTCTCCGTTTATTCCAGAGAAGATGGCAGTTTATGTACACTTCTATGTAGTTTACAGTTTACAAAGGCACTCTGATTGGCAAGCCAACATTGTTTGTCTTTGTCTTAAGGTGGCCTAAACCTCACACTATAAACCTGTACTGCTTCACACCCAGACAGCCCAGTGCTCCCCATCACACCTGAATACAATTTCTAACTGTGCCACAAACTCTGAATTTCTAACTGCATCACAAACTCTGAATTTCTAACTGAGCCACAAACTCTGAATTTCTGTGTCACAAACTCTGAATTTCTAACTGTGCCACAAACTCTGAATTTCTAACTGCGCCACAAACTCTGAATTTCTAACTGTGTCACAAACTCTGAATTTCTAACTGCATCACAAACTCTGAATTTCTAACTGCGCCACAAACTCTGAATTTCTAACTCTGCCACAAACTCTGAATTTCTGTGTCAGAGGCTGGAAGGCGTCACACGGCCCAAATCTGAGGCCCAGGCTGGAGTAGCTCAAATCTCATTCCAGACATAAATCATGCCCTCAGAAGTGCTGCAGCAGTTTTACCAGCAGAGCTCATTAATGGGGCTGGTGTGCTGCTCTGGGGGAGCTGAGCTCGGCGTGGGGCTCTCTCTGACTCCAGTGAGATAAGCCAGGATCCTTTCCTCCCAGCAGCAATGCCTGAGATTCATTTTGCCATGCTCTCCATGACTTTATACAGCTCTGTGTATATAAACATGCAAATGTTGGCTTGAAATGACCCATTTCCTGCAGCTCTGCTGGTCGTCCTTTTAAACAAGAGGGGAAAACCAGGCTGAAATCTGCATTTCTGGGCTGCAGGGGTGGAAAAGCAGGGGCTGGGGTGCCTCTGGGAGCAGCAGGAGGTCCCAGCCTGCCCCTCTGGTGGGGTGACACCCCTCTGGTCCTGTCCCCTCTCCGTACAGCTGCTGGGGACACAAATGTGTGTCCAGCCCTGCTGGGCTGCAGGGCCAGCTCCGGGCAGGGTGGGTGAGCTGGGAATGGTGGCAAAGCTTCCAGGGATCAGTCCGTGAAACACCGAGGGGGAAAGAGGGGCAGCAGGAAGGGAATGCTTGCTGCCTGTGCTGTGTGAAGCGTTTTTCCTTAGCTGCTCCCCAAGATACTCTCCTGAACGTCTTCTTGGCCATCGCTGTGGACAACCTGGCCAACGCCCAGGAGCTGACCAAGGTAGGTGGGACCTTCCTGTGCCTTCCAAAGCACCCTGAGCTGTCCCCTGGAGCCCTGGGGTGCCTTAAGGAGCTGGAGCAGAGGCTAGGTGGTGTTAAGGGGAATAAAAAGGAGATTTATTGAAAGGCATTCAAAGGCCACATCCTGGCAGTGCCGGAGTCGCTGCTGTGGTTCTGCCCCGATGGAGCCAAGATGGAACCAAAGAGAGCTTGGCACAAGATCTCTCATCTTTATCAGTTCTGCTCCATTGGCACCTTGGAGTTCATTGTCCCATTCCAGCTTCAGCCCAGGCAGTCCCATCCTGCTTGTTTTTCTCTCTCCAGCCCACGGTGTTTGTGCTCCTGGGCTGAGATTTGGATCATTTGTCCTTGGTGCCCAGCTGGAGCAGGAATTGTTTTGTCTCCCTGCTCTGTGCAGAGCTCAGCATCCCCTCATGTGAAGCCCAGACCCACAGACTAAAGCAGCACAGAATGTGAAAAATAGAAAAGCTGAAACCTGAGGCATCTTCTGCTGCACCTCTGGTGACCAGCTTGCACTGCAGAGAGTTTCATTCCCCTGCAGGTTTCTTTATTTCAGGTTGCAGGGAATATTTTGTATTTGCTTTATCCCAAAGTGGGCATTGCTCATCTCACATTTTCTGTTTCCAAGAGCAGATGAGAAGCAATTAACAGGTTTTTTTGGCTGATTGGAAGCTCAGACAGGAGCAAATTCAGGCATTGTGGTGCTGTTTTTGCCCCTCTGGTGACCAGCTTGCACTGCAGAGAGGTTTATTGCTCTGCAGGTTTCTTTATTTCAGATTGCAGGGAATATTTTGTGTTTTGTTTGGTCTCACACTTTGTGTCCCTTACCTTGCTGAGGTTGGTGATGGATTAAAGAATTAAAATTTTCCAATCAGCTCCAGGCAAAACAATTTGCAGAGGCTGTTGTGAGCACTCAGGGGAGGTGTTGGGATGTTCCTGCCTCTCGCCAGGTGTAAGAGAGCTCAGAGGCAGAAAGCCAGGTCCTGGCAGGGGATGGGAGTGACACTGATGTGACTTTTCTGGATGCAGAGAGCTGAACACAGATTTCTGTTGGAAAATGTTTACATTGGAGCATTCCCAGGGAGAACAGCTCAGCCCCAGGGTTGGGCAGAGAGGATTGTGACTGTTGCCCTTGGTATTTGGGTTATTGCACCGTTTTGATTTCTTGGTGCACTCTGGTGGATTTATGAGGAGAATTAATGGGGTTTTTGCACCTTTTTAGCTTTTCTCCCCCATCCCTGTGCTGCTGCCACCAGCAGCAGTCACAGTGACCTGCTGGGGTGGTTGTTTTAGAACTTCCATTTCTTTGCTCTCTGCCCACATGCTGAGGCAGCAGCAGGCAAAGGTGGTTTTCATTTTAGGGAAAGGTGCAGCATTCATGGCCCTGGATCCCTGCAAGGCCAGGCTGGATGGAGCTGGAGCAGCCTGGGGTGGTGGAAGGTGTCCTGGGTGGCCTTTGAGGTCCTCCCACCCCAAAGCCAACCACGGAATTGCTCGAAAGCCATGGAGATGTGGTGCTCAGGGTTAGTGCTGAGCTCTGGGGTGGGTCTGGCACTGCTGGACTTGATCTTTCCCAACATTTATGGCTTTTGGATCCCCTCGGCAGCTCCACACTTCAGGGACACGGAGATTTCCCAGAATTTCCCACCCTCCTCCAGCTGCTGAAGACCAAACCAGCCAAAGATTCCCAGTCAAAAACCACATCCCTGCTGGAGCTGAGCTGCTCTTTGCCCTCTCCCCTTTTCCTGCAGGACTGGCTCCAGCTCCCAGCTTTTCTGGAGCTGTTTCCCAGCATACCCTCCAAACAGCCTGGTGGCTTCTAGGTGAAAAATATTTTTTTATTACTACAAATAATTGTTAATTATAACCAATTCCTTATTATTATAAACATGTTTTTATTATAAATAAATAATTTTATTATTATTCTAAATTAAATTCTATAAATTTTTATTATTTTAATTTTGTTCCAATTCTGTGTTCTGCATCCCTCCTCCCCTAAAATGCTGCTGATGGCTGTATTTAATGGCTCTCTGTTGTTTTGGAGCTTTTCATTTTTAAAATATTTTTTTTTAATGGGAGTTGTTTTCCCCTTTCAGCAGCTCAGCTGTTTCTGTGCTCACAGAAATCTCCAGCCTGGAGGCAAAGATCCTCCCAGATTTATGGGCATCCCTTGCATGTGCTAAGAGGGGAGATGAGGCCCAGCACAATTGTTGGATAATGAAGCTCATCCTCCTTCTTTCTTAATCCTTTAAGTACTTTCTTGTGAATATTTCAGCAGCTGGCAGGGATGGTTAGAAACCTGACTTTGGGGATGTTTATAAAGTCTAATTAAATATTGATGGATTCAACAGCGTTGCCAAATCATAAAGCTTCTCCAAAAACTCTCTTGGGGATTTTTTTTTTTTAAGTTTGATTTTATTTATGATCCACCCCCCTCCAACCCCCCCTCCCCCCAAAATCACTGGGGCTCTCTAAAGAAGAGGGAAAAAGCTAAAATTCAATTAGACACATACCTGGAGAATGAGGATTTCCTGCTGAGTAAATATGCTCATGCAAGCCCCAAAAATGGCCCAGAGATACAAGGAAGTTCCTCAGGAGTCTGTTGGTCCCAGGAGACTTTCCTGACATTTATTCTGTGGAATTAATTGAGATCAGTACTGAATTTAATGTGGGAGAACCAGGAGCAATTGAAATTGCCTCTGTTTAGGGAAGACACAAAACTTTCCTGCCTCATGTCTGGAAGATCTCAACTTTCCCCACTTCTGGGTGCTTATTTGGATTTCTTTATGTGGCATTTTGACCATTTCTGGGCTTTGTGACCTGTAAGAGAAGCTCTTTGAGCTGGGACTAAATTTAACTGCAGCTTGATCATCCTGTGGCTCTTACAGAACTCTCCAGTGCTTAGGAATGACTCATTTTTTGGGGAAAAAAATAAAGAATCACCACCTTTGCTTTCAGTCTGTAAAAAAAAACCTGCTCCCACCTCCCTCTCCTGCTCTTCCTCTTCTGGCCTGACTCAAACTCTGCCAACCCAATTTTTAGTCATTCCTGAGAACTCTCCTGAATCCCTTTGGGTTCTCTCACCTTTAGGATTTTTTCTTCAATACATTAACAGGTTTTTTCTTCTGTTCACTTACTCAGAGAGGAATCTACAACTGCCCCCAAAATTTGCTTTTCAAGTCTCTCTGCTGATCATCCAGAATGTCCCTGCTGACATCCAGCAGCTCCTGCTTCATCCTCATTAAACTGGAGTGTAAACCACTGCAGCTGAGGCTTTATTTTCCTAAATAGCTTCAAGCAGGAAGAGTTTTCTCATCTCTGTCCACTGCCAGTGACCCCTGAAAAAGCAGGATAAACACATGTACGAGGGATGTGGGAATTTGATATCAATTTGTATAAAATTCTTGAGGAATGCCCAGAAATTTTGGACTGAAGGGAGTGGCCAAACCAAGAGCTGAACATCCATAAATCCCCCTCCTTTTGCTCCCTATGGAAAAGGCTTTAACTGGATGAATGTATTGAAGAAAATTCAGTGTTAATGATGCACATAATGATGGGTAGCACCAAAAATGGGTTTTACCCCGTGAGAAATTGATTTAAATTAAGATTTAGAGCTCCAGAAAAGAGAAAGGGACATAAACCAGGGATGTCCTTATGGGCAAGAGCTTTATCTCTGAAATGAAAGGGACAGTTTGAGCTGTTCAGAGCTTCAGTGTGAGCTGGAATTTTAAATATCAGGTAAAAAATTAATGAATTTTTGGAGTTATCTGCAATATCTGCATGGAAGGAGCTACAGAGATATTATAAAGCAAACATCTGCTGAGGGCTGAGCTCGCTGTGAGTGAGGAACAGCTGTGTTTGCTGCTCCTTCAGGATGTAAATCCAGCAGAATTACAGAGGCACCCGGGAGAATGGAGCAGAAGCCACAAATTTAAAAGAGGTTTTAATACCTGCACCTGGTGCTTTAGGGGCAGAGAAAGAAAAATCAGCAGCATTTGCTTTTTAAGGCTGCTGGAGATCCCTCAAAGGAAGAAATAATTTGAGTTTACCTGGAGGATGAAAGGAAAACCCAAAAGATTTTTTTTATTGGGGTTTTATTCCTTTTAAAACCTGTGTCCTGAGGATAACATTTCTGCTGCATTGGGATGGGCACAGTTAATTTTTCTTCCCAGGACCTGCTGTGGGATTTATGTGGGAACCATCTGGGATGTTTTGTTCTTGCAAACAAGGCCAGGGGGCAAAGCTGGGGGGCACAGGGACTTGGGGACACACAGCTGGGACAGCTGAGCCCAGGGACATTCCAGCAGGGTGACAACATCTGTCTGTCCCAGTCCATGCAGGGAGCTCTGCTGTGCTGGGATGGCAGAACCCAGGGTGGGAAATGTGGAATTCATTCCTTTCTCTGCCTGTCTCTGTGGCTTTTTCTTTCCCAAATACACTGAATTTATGCCAGGCCGTGGGTATTTGCTGTTTTCCCACCCCAGCAGGGTGAAAGGACACGTGCCTGGGGCTGAACTGCAGGCCAGGATTAAACCAAACACCCTTGATTTGCAACGAGCTCCCAAGGCTTTGATAAATTTACTGGAATTCGGCAGCTGAGAAATATTGACTTTGTATAATTGCTCAGCCGGTCTTTTATTTAGCCTTGGTTATAGATGTGCAAATATTTGCAAAGGGAAAAAAAAAAAAAGAAAAAGAAAAAAATGAAGACATTTATATGGTAACAATTTTTAAAATCAATTTCCATTTTTTTTTTTCCCTTCTGAAGGAGAAAAGGAAAGCAGTTTCCAAATGAGTTCAGTTGAAGCAAATAGCACCAAAGGCAGAGCGAGGAGCTGTTTATGCAGATGGAATTCAGGGTGGATAAATCTCTATAATTTCCTATTCCAAAGCTGGAGATCTGTCTGCTCTCATTATTTTAATCATGACTCCTTCCAGCACCACCCTGGGAGAGCAGAGGCAGACCCCTGTAATTCCATAAAGTTTGACAGAAGGGCCTGTGACTGCTCTCAGTGTGGTTTTCCCTGGATTTGTGAGATGCTGGTGTTGCTAGCAGAGCTCTGTGCTTACTCTGCCATGATTTGACTTTATTTTGGTTAGAAAATTCCAGCAAAGTTGCTCTTGGTGACCACTGAAGGGGAACCAGGATGTTTCCTTGGGTTTTGCTCTCACCTCAATGTTTAAGATCGTTAAATTTTGAATTTTTGAAATGAATTTTTTGTAATTATTATTATTTTTTTTTTAATCAGGATCCTTAATTTTGAGTTTTGGTGCTGCTTTTCATGTTGGGTAGGAAGAGAGAAATCCCGGGTACAGTCTTCAGAGGTTAAAAATCCTTGTGATCCAGAACCCTTTGCTCCAGAAACTTCATTTGATATGGTTCTTTTTTTGTTTTCTGAGTCCTCAGGGATCTGAGGTGGGTGTGAACAACTGATGGGAGCAGGGCCAGTCCCAAATCCATGGTTTTTATTGCTGTTTCAGAAAAGTCCTCTTGGCAGGAGGTCAGGGAGGATTTAGGAGCCCGTCCGGGTGTTTCAGCAGGACATTGGCTTTAGAGAGTTGTTACACACACAGCTCTGGGATAAATGGGGAATTCCACCTGGAACTGTCCCATTCCTGCTCCCCCAGCGTCTCCTTCCCCAGTGCGGAGTGCTGAGAGGAGACCCAGCAGAATCAAGAAAGTTTCTGAGGGCAAAAAACCCTCTTGACCAAACCTTGCCATTCTCACCTCAACCAAACCTGGTCTCAGGGTCTGGGTGTTGCGATGACCCCAAGAGTGTAAAAGTCCTCGTTCCCAGCCCCTGCAGCCAAAGGAAGAGTCTGAAATGTGTAGGATCAGCTCTTCAAGGTTGTTTATTTTCCCTTATCTAGAACATTCTTTCTCTGACCTGCTGAGCTCCATCTAGCAAGGAGGCCATGGCATTCTGTGTGCCACCTCGGGCAGAAGTTATATTTTGTGTCAAAAGTTAGGTACAGTCCGTTTACAATAACATGCCAATATCTATCATATATGCTGGACAGCGTGTCTGTACCTTAAACCAACAGAAAAATGTCACCATCACACCAAGGCATGGAGGGCAAGGAGAAGGAGAAGAAGGTCAGGACATGTCCAAATCTCTCCATCTTGTCCCCTTGAACCCCATTCTAAAAACCCCAAAAATTCTACTTTTTCACCCTGTGTTAATTCAGCTGCCACACCACTCAAACCCTTGTGGCTTGTAATTCCTCACACAGAGTTGGCAGCTTTTTCCACAGGCTAAAATGGAACCCACAGGTGGTTTTGACTTCTGGGTCTCTGAGCTCTCTGCCAGGGTCTGGAGCCATCCAGGGCAGCCAGAGGGATGAACTGGATTCCAACACCTGGGGCTCCTTACAAGAAAACCTGCCCAAAATTAAAATTCCTGTGTCCTTGCAATTCACCAGTGGCAGCCACCACACCCCGGGGCAGCTTTGCTTGTTGTTATTCCATGATTTATTCCCTGATTTTTTTTCTCCTGTTTTTGTGCCCCAGGACGAGGAGGAGATGGAGGAAGCCACCAACCAGAAGCTGGCCCTGCAGAAGGCCAAGGAGGTGGCCGAAGTGAGCCCCATGTCGGCGGCCAACATCTCCATAGCAGCGTAAGCACCTCGGGTTCCTCGGGAGAACGTTCCCCCTTCGCAGTGTCTGTCTGTCTGTCCAGCTGGGGCATCCCATGCTGCCCTCTGGGAGCCCTCCTGCACCACCTCTGGCCAAATACTTCAGTGCTGAGCACTTAATTAGGAGTCTAATGAAGGATTTCTTTCAGTTTGGTGCTCTGTGTAAGGCCTCATCTTTGAATAATTGTGTTTTAGGAGGATTATTTTTTTTTAAGCTGTCCCAGGATAGATTTCACCAGGTGAAGTGTTAATGTCCCACTTTGGATTTTTAATGAGGAGATGATTTTATTGATTTTTAATGAGTTATTTCTGTGTGTGCACAGAAAGAACTATTTTTTAGTAATCTTGAGAATTCAAGTGCAAAGGCATCCTCTTAAATAGATGAAAAATGTGCTTAAATTCCCTCGCTGTTTGAAAGAGCTGGGTGTAATAAGATGATCTGGTTTGGAGGAAGGAACATCCATTTGGGATTCTCGGATGCCTGGATGTGGACAAGCACAGGCTCTGTGATACCAAAACCCTTGGAAAGCTTTGCCTTGGGCTCAACATTTCCTGGATCCTAGAGTTGCAAAAATGAGGTGTAGATGGAAATATTTGTCCAGGTTCCTGTGTTTGAGACATTCCTGGAAATATCCAAGTGTTGGATGGACTTGGAGCAGGCTGGGATGGTGGAGGGTGTCCCTGCAGAGGTTGGAATGGGACTTAAGGTCCTTCCGACCCAAACTATTCCATGATTCTGTTCTGGATCCTCGCAGGGATTTGCTGAAAAGGTTCCTTGAACTCTTCTGGAATTTTATCATCCACACCAAAACATTTTGGTCTGCATGTTACTGCGAGCTGCTGATGTTCTCCAGACCCCTTTTACAGGGGAGACCTCCAAGGGCTGGAGAAGCTCAAGTATAAAAAAAAAAAAGGAATTTCCTGCTCAATTTATTGGAAAAAAATCTGAACTGCAGCCGGATTCCTTTGGTGGAAATCTCTTTTTACTGGGGGTTTAATCCACTTTAGCAAAGACAAAAGGCCAAGTGGAGCCCATTTGTTCTATGTGAAGGAAAATAATATTATTAATTTGCCTATTTTATTCTTCTTACCATTTTATTTTGTCATTACTGCTGTAATCAGTTCCTATTTATGCTCTGGCTGTTTGATAGTTTTAAATACCATTTTTTCCTTACAATTATTTTCTGGCCAGCCTTGAAAAGAAGTCAAATGAGGATAATTGCTCCTGCTCTTTGATGAATTTCTTGGTTCTGGTATTTGAAAATGCAAGATGATGATGGGGCTTATTTGCTTTTGTTTGAATCAAAGCGTTTTGCATGGGAAGATTTCTTAGAAATCAGCAGGAAAAAACCATCTCACTTCCATGGGCCTAAGGTTGAAATTGCTTAAAATCACCTTTTCCCATCATTTTTCACCAGGTTTCCAAAAGCACAAGGAGACTTTTGTGACAACAATTCGAAGTGAGGACAAATTTGTGTATTTTTGCCAATTTTGCCTCCAACCGAGTCTGCCCTGTCTCACGTGTGTGAAAATTCACATGAGCACAGTGGAAGGGGGGTTTTCCACATCTCCTGACCTGTGACACCCTGTGACATCTCCTTGGCCCTGCTGCAGGGCCACGCTGAGCCTGCCACGGCCACTCACAAAGCTTGGCTTTGGGGGAAAAAAGCAGCATTTAGGTCCAGAGGTTGATGCCCAAAGGGATGAAGCCCTGGAGGAACAGGCAAGGGAGGAGTCAGGTTCTGGGAGATGGGAAGAGAGGCCTGGATGGATTGGTGGCTCGTGACCCATGAGATTTAATGAATCCATCTCAAAGCAATTTGTTTTATATATAAATTCCGGAATATTCTGAGAGTTGGGAGAGACCCACAAGGATCAATCCGGCTCTCAAGAACCCATACAGGGATGGAATGTCCATCCTTGGGGAGCTCCAGAGGGGCTTTGCAGCCCCTAAATCTTGGACAGGGGGTGGTTTGCTGCCACCAACCCTTGGATACCCCTGTCCAGTACAGTAGGGCTGATTTGGTGACCTTTTGGTGCCCAAATCCACTCCAACACTTCATTTCTCCTGCTCTTATTCCCCACTGTGCTCTGAGGGTGGAGCAGATGTCGTGACCATGGCAAGTCCTGGCAGATCAGATCCAGAGCTGGACATGCCAAAAGTGCTGGGTATTCTTAAAAATGGGATTTTTGGGAAATGAAAATATCAGCATAACCCAAAACTTGGGTACAAAGAACTGAGAATCCAGTCCCTGTAAGATTCAGTGAGCAAGGCCTGGGGAAAACTGGGATTGAGCTCCTGCAAAGGTGGCTCTACCCAATCAATTTCTATTTGTACTTTCCCCTAAGGAATATTTTTCTAGTTTAATATTATTTTCCCAACATGTGAAAATGGATTTCTACTACAGCAGCCATCGATAGCATGGATGGATGTGCTGAAAACATTGATATTTTCCCTGCCTGCGTCAGTCCAAACAGGTGGTGGCAGAGAACACCATGACTTGGATTTTCTGAATCACGATGTTCATGTTCCCAGCGTTCCCACAGAGGTGACAAAGCTGTCCCTGGGCTGAGCCTGGTGAGAAGTCATGTTGGTTGTGCTGTCTCAAGGCTGAGGTGCTTCTTCCCTGCCCTTGCTGGTCCTGCTCCTAGCACTGACTGCAGCTCCCCCTAAAGCTCCCTCCAGCCCTTCCCATGCTGTTGGATCCTCCACCTCTGGCATTTTTCCCGTGGTGAAAATTTTTCACAGGGTGAGCTGTGCCTGAAGAGGAATTTTTTGCACTCTGTGACCTACGAGGTTTGGGGTTTTTTGTAATTCCATGAGGTAATGGATTACAGTTGCAGCCAGATCCAAGGGAATCCTTTTATCACCCACCCCGGCCTCCCCTCCTAACCAAGCTCCATCAAATTTGCACATTCAGTGCCTTGGAATTGTCCCCTTGCCCCCCTCCTCAGCTCTGAGCTCCATTTATTGTGCTGATTACTGAACACCATTCCCTGAGCTTAAGGAACTGGTTATTATCCAGCGTCATCCAGGCTCTGAAGAGGCACCTTCACCTCCCCACCTGGAATTGGATGCTGTGGGAGCTGGGAATTGGTTTGTGATTGATGGGGATCTCCTTTAATAACAGGCTCATCATTGCAGTGCTGGGAGGGATCGTTTATCATCGGCCTCACGACATCCTGCACTGCTTTGGAGCTCCCAGACATTTCCTCCCTCACCAAGGGCATTCACCTGAACAGATCTGTCTGACCACGGTTGGTTTTTCACCTGGTGAGCTCTGTCCTGCAGGATTTGTTTTGTGGATTTTTATTTCTCTGGATGAAAAGCGAGGCTGGTTTGGAGCTCTTGCTTCATCCAGCTCCCAGCATTTCTCTGCTCCACCAGACCTGAGCAGATTTGTCTGACTGACCACAGTTCCTTTTCCACCTGGTGAAATCTAGCCTGAAGGATTTATTTAAGATGAAAAGTGAGGGTGGTGCGTTGGTTCTGTGACTGTTTGCAATGTTTGGCTGAAAACAGGAGATATGTTTAATTTGAGCCCAATGTTTCACTCTTATTTTTTTGTGATTTTTTGTTTGTTTGTTTTGTTTGTTTTCCGTTTAGCATTTTCCTTGCTTTGTTGTTTCTGGAGGTGAGTTCTGGGTTTGTTCAGCCCCTCTGTGTCGTTTACCCTGCTCAGCCTCTGCACCTGAGGGACTTCACAGAGCCAGGGGACTTTAGGGCAAACCATTGGTGCAGCTTCCCTGGCAGCCAGACCGGAGGATGGGGGACAAGGGGACAATTCCAAGGCATTGGATGTCCAAAGCACTTTTTGGTGCCACTGCCAGTGGAAGGAAGAGCCCTCAGGCTCATCCCTGTGGGTAACACAAAGACCCCAAAGCAAACCTGGGTTTTTTTTCCTGGTTTTGCCTGAATTCCCCATGTTTGGGTTCCTCCTCTGCCTTCCCCATCCCAGCCAGAGCTGCACCAATGGCCCGTACAAAAGGGGCTGCCACAAGCACACCCTGCCCCAGGCAGGGCATGACCTGGGGCTCACAGCATTCCCCAGCGCCCTCTCCTCACCTTTTCTTGGGGAAAGCCTTGAAATAGCAATTTTTCAGCACCTCTAAATTTGTAGGAGCCTGCCAGGTAGTCAGCCACACTTGGAGGAACTTTTTGCACTCTGTGATTTACGAGGTTTGGGGTTTTATTAATGCCATGAGGTAATGGATTAGAGTTGTAGCCAGGTCCAAGGGAATCATTTAATCACAGGTGTGAGGTGTGAGTTTTGGGTGGGAGCAGAACTTGGGTGATGGATGAAATGTGATGGGCAGTGCAGAGACAGCTCCTGGATGTAGGCACCAGACCTAAGCACGGTTTGTCACATTGCCCACTGCTGTCCCAGAGTTACTTGTGCTTCCCAGGACAACTTTCCAGCCTCCAAGGACCTCCCTTGTCTCCAGGACTGGTTTCTGCTGGTCCCACTGGGGTTGTTCACAGAATTGGCGCTGTAATTGCAGTCCCGCAGGGGACAGTGCCTGTCAGTGTGAGCGAGGCAGAAAATCCACCAGAGGTGGCACTTCAGTCACTTCATCCCTCTCACCCTTTTGTACAGGTCTGGGGATGCAGGGAGGGGGGAACTGCTCTGTTTCTCCAGGTTTTCCATCTCGGAGGTTCCATGTTTTCCTCTGTTGGGCTGTGGGGACGCAACAGGACCCAGCAAGGAGCTGCCTGAACACCCAGCCCGTGCCCCGTGCTGTGCTGGGGGGTGTAGATTAGAAGAGGTGTTCTTTTTCTCTTGCTGGTTGTGATTTCTTCCCTCTCCTCCTCCCCTGGAGTGTGTCAGTGTGTGAGGTTCTGATTCCTCCCGTGGGTTTTCCTCTCTGTCCTCACTGTTGGTGTCACCCAAAGCCACTCTGGGCTCTGTCCCTCCTTCCTGGTAAGTAGCATCTGGTGAAAATCAACTCCTGCTGTGGTTTTGCCCTGGAAAAGGAGGCTG